GCTGACGGCATGAAGGATCACTTGAGGCCAGGAGTTCAAGACCAACCTGAGCAACACAGTGAGGCCCTGTCTCTATAATAAATAAATAAAAATTAGCACAGATGTGGTGGCATGTGCCTGTAGACCCAGCTACCCAGGAGGCTGAGGCAGGAGGATCCCTTGAGCCAGAAGTTGAAGTTCCAGTGAGCTATGATGATGCCACTGTACTCTAGCCTGGGCAACAGAATGGAACCTGTTTCAAAAAAAAAGAAAAAAGCCCTGATTCCTTCCATGTAAACATAGTAACAGCTCTTCAAATCTTTGAAGGCCTCCTATATCCTCCCTAAGTTGTTTTTATTCTAAGTTAAACATTCTTCATTCTCCTGACTCTCAAACTATTCTTAAGTTCAGTATTACTTGGGATCTGAAATTACTGGTATCCACTGGAAAAACAAACAGCATAGAGGCGCAGATCACTTAAGACCAAAACAGAGGCATAGAAAAGAGAGGCACAGCCACATACACTTTGAAGGTAGTAAAGAAAATGAGAAGTGTTGATCTCCTACTCCAACAACAGCCCAGAATGTATGCTCCCTCTAGAGTACTATGAAGGGGCCAGAAATCAAATGGAACTTCATTCAGCTCAGGGAGGTGCCTGGGATCACCCCTCAGCTCTAACAGCCACCAAATCACGGGACCAAAGGGGATGGCTAATGGCAGCACAGGCACTCAGCTCTTACTAATAGTATTCTTTTTTTTTTTTGCCTTTAATCAACCCCGATATTTCTTTCATTTCTCTGCTTTAAAGGTTCTGGACCTTTGCTACCCAATAACAATCAGTCAGGGTGCTTAAAAGATACTGATGTTCTGGTCCCACTCCCAAAGATCTGGAGATGGGCTCAGACATTTCTGTTTTTAGAAATTTCCCCAGATGATTCTTGTTTGACTCACAATGTGCTATGATTTGTAGGTCGTGTGTGTGTGTGTGTGTGTGTGTGTGTGTGTGTGTGTGTATGTGTGTGTGTGGTGGGTTGGGGATGTTCCTATTCTATTACACCATGAATTCTATGAATGAGTTTCCAGTCTTGTTCTTATGTTTATTCTTGGTGCTCGATACATAGTTTATGCCAATTAATGTTTGTTGAATGAATAATTGAAAGAATAACTCAAGGAAGTGATAGAACTGCTCAATGACATTTTGGGGAAAATATCCAGATGATGCAAACAAAAAATGTTTGACTGTTCTCAATTTTTGTGAAAGGAAGTGAGGAATGAAAAGTGATCATTTTATTATCTTATCCTAGGCCCAGAGATAGCACAATATGTGATTTGCTTAACCAGCAAAAACTTGTGCACCTGTCTCATTTGTGATGCAGTTAGGGCCGGTCTGATGATTATGAAGAGCAGATGTGAGGGCTGCCTGCCCAGAAATGTTCTCTCCATAGTTCCAACATCGTGCCTGTACCTCCAATTGTTAAAGCCTTTCCTTTAGGCTATATCAGTGCATCCCCAAATTTTAATGCACACACAGGTCTCCTGAGGATATTGTTAAAATACAGATTCTGAGTTGGTAGGTCCGGGGTGGGGCCTGAGCTTCTGCCTTCCTAACTAGTTTCCAGGTGATGTAGAAGCTGCTGGTCCAAGGAGCGCCCTTTGCATAGTGGAGTGAGCGCTAGTACAGGACACACCTGTGAGGACATACCAGCAGCCCCATGTAAACCAGCCCCTGGCATCCAGGAAGGCCTCATCGCGAGTGAGATTTTCAGCTATGGATCTGTAAACACTGAGTGGGGGGATTTTGATGTCAGGGGAGAGGGAGACTAAGATCTGAAATGTGGGGCCTGGCTTGGGGACAGCACTGGACATCATGGCAATCTCATAATCCTGTTTTCTTAACTGCAATAGGAACCAGATTTCTCTTGTTGAGAGAAACGGCTCATCCTGCCCTACAAATTTCCTCCAACGGGACCGTGATCAGCTTCACTGAGAGGAGAAAGCTGACGGAGTAAGTAGAAGCAAAAGGCCCAAGTGGACTAATGTCCCATAGTCTTAGGTTGCCGTAGTGTGGTATCAGCTAAGCACGTCCTTAGCTTAATGGACAGGCCTGGGCGTGGCGTTGGCTATAAGTGTGTGCGTCCGTGCAGTTCAGCTGTGGTTCATTGCTAGGGGAAGGTGGCCGCGATGGTTCATAACTTGGAGCAAGTGTCACTATTTTTATTGGAAAGGCAAGCACAAATGGTTTTGCTTAAAACATTGGAGGTTGGAAGATATTATCTCTGGTTCAATTAAAAAAAAGGGGGGGGGGTGCCCAGTAATTTATCTATTACTTTCAATAGCATACTGGATTTTGTATCAACCCTCTTGAAAAGGAATAGAGGAGAAGGACATTTTATTGTGTCCCTGGTTCTGGCCACAGAATCTTGTCCCCATAGCACCTCCCCCCAAAACGAAGCGTCAAAGCAAAGAAGAGCCAGAAGCTGAGGATGGGTTGGGGAGGCTGCCCTGCAAATTGCCTGCAAACTCTCACGGCCATTTGGGGGTCAAAGTGGCCAAATGGGAGAAAGCGCGTGAGGCTCACACTGCTGACGGTGCTGATGTGCGCTAAGCTGGCCAGCGGCGACCTGCACTGCTTTCCTGGCTGGTCGCTACTTGCCTGTGGCCCAGCTCAGGTGTTACCACTTCTACAAATGGTCAGTCGTACCTTCTCCAGGCCCTGGCACCCTTTGGTCTTATCTGTGTAAAAGGACGGAAAACTCATGGGACTGTTTGTCAGCCAGTCAATCATGAATAATCCTCTGTCTTACGCATCTGTGAATCCCCAGTGTCTAGCATGGGGCCAGGGCATTGTAGATGCTAAAAGTATACAAATGAGTGCATTTAAGGGGAAAGAAAAAGAGTTAAGAAATAGGTTGAACTTTTCTGTCTTTTGGATTTCTCAAAAAATTGAAAAGAAAAGAAATAGACTGGAGGTGGGTTAGAGTTCAGAGATAATAACTGATGATAACTGTAACGTATTTTAGAGAATTTTATTTATTATTAACTAGAAAATTAGCTCATAAGTGTCAGGCAGCCAGGCTTTGCTCCAGAGAGTGAGGGCTTGTCAGTAGCCACCTCTCTGAAATGAGGTTGTTGGGTAAAGACAGGAGGAAGTGAAATACATTTCCTTGCATTAATCATTTTCTCATCTTTTAAAAGAGAGAGGAAGAGGGTACTGACTGAATATTAACACTGCTTAAATTAAAAATGCTTCCTTGCTGTCTCAGCCATTTCCAAGTAAAACTGAGCAATTCATGCAAACAAGGTCATCCATCAGCAGCTGAAAGTACTTTGGTTCATTTTACTGAGCCTCTTGTCAAAATAGCTAAGGTGAGACAAAAAGGGAACTTTTAACCAACCTCTCAGGGGCACCTACAACAACTCAAAGAGGCCACAGTCATGCAGACTGTTGACCACAAGCATCTACGAAGCACACTAAACATACCTGGTTAATTCCACACTCTGCTCTGCTTGGGCCTCACCATTTAAGAGGTGTTTTGGGACACCTCTTGGGTCTTACCATTTAAGAGGTAAGACACCTTAAATGGTGTCTTACCATTTAAGAGGTGTTTTGTTTGCCGTGCCCAGAAATGTCAGTAGGTACTAGAACTCATTGTTAAAGAAGGTTTTCGTGATTCCTTTTTTGCAAGTGCTGGAAGAAAACTCTGCAAGTTATATTCCCCACCTGCCTCCCTTGTATTTACTGTCTCTCCTTAAAAGCAGAGGCTGTGCCATCTCTTTTTATGCTGCCATTATTCTAGTAATTTCCTGGTTCCCACTTCGGTTAAGAGATGCAATGTGCAATATATGCACGTAGTATGTGACAGGGGAAATACAGCAAATGCCTGTTGAGAATTTGGGGAATTCTGCGGCAGTTTCCAAGGATAGAATCCTGCCTAAACTGTGTGTGAGTTTGTGAATGTTGATGCTCATGAAATAAAGGCTGGTGATCTTCGTGCCAAGCTTGAGCTGATCAACTTTGCCTGCAGGATCCCTTCGGTGCTGGGCGAGGAGCTGCCTGCCTGTGGCCAGCATTACTGGGAAACCACCGTCACAGACTGCCCAGCTTATCGCCTCGGCATCTGCTCCAGCTCAGCTGTGCAGGCCGGGACCCTGGGACAAGGCGACACCTCGTGGTACATGCACTGCTCCGAGCCACAGAGGTAAGCCGGAGCCCTGCCCCTTCCCTCCTAACCAAAATGTCTGCATGGGTGTCTAGGGGCTCTGAGGGACCTAATAAACAGACCTTCCCTTAGTGAGGAGGGAAGGCCCTCAGTGAGCCAACTAAGAAAGAAAACAAGAGTCGAGTATATGGAGATGAAACTCTTATTACTGAGAAAGCTAACTTTAGAGAATGTGGATCATACCTAAGAGCAGGAGTGTTTTTTATATTAAACCCTATTATTAGGCAGGTTTACCCACCCAGAGCCCTGGCCGGCCAGCTTCCCTGCCCTGCAGGGCAGAGGTGGTCTCTGGAGAAGCAGAGAAGGATTGTGTGTCTCTCCAGTCAGCTTATGAGCAAGAGATAGGGAAGAGGGAGGGGCTGCTGGGCTACGCAGGGCCAGTTTTTTCCTTCTAACCTCACCCCAGGATGCAGAGAGATCACAGGGTAATGCTAAGAGGGCTCTCTGGCAGAGAAGAAATAAACAGAGTGAGGAGAAAGTGGACACCCCACACCTCCCCTATGTTGGTCTATATTGGGGGTTAGCAAACTGCAGCCCATAGGCCAAACGTGACCCGCTGACTGTTTTTGTATATAGTTTTATGGAACGCAGTCATGCTTGTTTGTTTATGTGTGGTCTATGGCTACTTTTGCACTACAGTGGCAGAACTGACAGAGACCAAATGGCCTCCAAATCCTAGGATATTTACTATCCGCCCCTTTCCAGAAAAAGTTTGTCAAGCTCTGGTCTATATTACTCGTATTGTTTGGTCGGTGGATGTATAAAAGCCATTATCTCGTGTTATTCTCAGAGAGACCAGGCAAGCTTGTTATAATCTGAGTATGCTCACAGGATGGTTTAATAGAAAGAGCACTGGCCTGGGAACCAGGAAGCTAATTTTAGTCCTGGCTCCATCCTTGCTTCGCCACCTGTTGCTATTCACCGTAAATTGGTTAACCCTTTGAGCAACCTCGCCATGCATCATCTGTCTCAGCAGGGGACAGTAATACCTGGACTTTTGGGGTTGTGACAATCACATGAAATCAGGTACAGGGAAGAGCTTTGAAATTGTAAAGTGTCATACAAATGTGAGGCATTATTCAAATGAAATGCTTTAAAAAGAAGCCTTCAGTGCCTGCAAGTTCCCAGAAAAGGCCCACAGATTGGGATTTGCATATCTCTGGCTGCACATTTCTGCTTGCATCCTACTTGACAGTTTGCTTCTCTGAGATGGTTCATAAGGACACCATCTCCAAGCACTATTTAAAGTCACATTCCATCAAGTCAGAGCGATTATGATTAATTGATATTCAGCACTGTGCAACACTTCAGGACCCAGCCCCTGCCTAGAGTTTGAAATCACTCAAACTCAGAGTATAGGGTTAGTAGATTTAGGGCCAAAACTAGGTATTAATTTCATGAAAACATCCTTACCTATTCAAATCCTTAAAAACCCAAAACAAGGACTAACTTCCTTTGGAAATTTCTAGACTCTAGAAAATAGAATTGTATATTTCGTTGACAAGGTCAACCTACAGCTTTGGTCTTTGGCTCTATGATCTTTGGCTCCATAGGTGTGAGGAGAAAGGGTGTGTCAACCTGTGTGGTCACAGCAGAGGGGAGGTCAGGTCCCAGGTGGTTCATTTCTTGCTTTGGGGACTTCACGTGGAGCACCCGGCCTCTGGGATGCTGGGCGAACTGCTGCGGCAGCCCCTTCTGTCCTTCACTCTTTCTGGCTTAATGATTTAAACCAGCCTGTGTTACTCTTGATTCTGCTTACACAGAATCTGAGCTTTAAGCTGTCGCCGTTGTGAAGGAGACGGTCTGTCTCAGGAAGAAAGTCAGCTGGCTCTCTTCCTGTCCACTCCTCGTTGCCGTCCTTGTTCGAGGCTGCCTCACCTCCCTTGCAGTTTCCCCAGCAGCCCGCCTGCCTGTAGGCTCACTTCGGGTCTCTCCCCACCCCAAGCTATCCCACATGGCCACACTGAAAAATACTTCTAAAACATAACTCTCATCATATCCCTTCCTTTTCTGCTCAACTATCTGCAAACATTCCCAGCAGAACCAGAACTCAGGGGCGCAGTGAAGAGGGGAAGCCAGAAAGCAGGTGGCCAGGCCCGGGTGAGGAGCCCCAAGGGGTGATGGCCACGGTGGAGGGTCTGGGCTGAGTCCGGGCCAGCTGTGAGATTCAAGCGGGTGGGGTCCTCAGCCCACCTGGGGGAAGGGGCCACGGCAATCCAGGGTCACACAGGTTCAGAGTCAGGCTTCTGGATGGTGCTTGTTTGAACAGGGACTGTCTGTCCCACGGGCAGGCAGGCAAAAGCTGGGCAGGGAGCCAGGCCCCAGGCTAATAGGCTAGGTTTCAGGCCAGACATGGGTTAGTGGAGAAATCAATGTGCTCAGTTGGAAATCGAGGCAAAAGTGGAGCTGGGCAGCTTCCATGTCCTGCAGAACTGGTGGAGCCAAGGCTTTAGCGAATATCTTTCCCTCCATGGCCTCCATGGTGGGGATTGGCTCAGGGACTAACCAGGTCTGGGCTGTCAGGGTCTGGGGACCAGGGACCTTCCAAGCAGGGGAGAAGAAATAGCTCATTTGGTCATCAAGGACCCTCCAGACCAGCACTGTAATAGAACATTCTACAAAATAGAAAAATGATGTCACAAGTGATGTCACAAATGATGTCACAGGTGGCTATTAAACACTAAAGTGTGGCTAGTAGAAATGAAAAACTGAATTTTAAGTTTTATTTTATTTTTTTTTAATTTTAAAGTTTATTTTATTTTAATTAATTTTAAGTGGCCACATGTGGCTAGTGGCTACTGTATTTGACAGGGCAGGTCTTGAGCCTGACTCGTGACTTGATTATCTATGTAATATCCTAAAAGTCACTCCTATGTCCTGTCCAAGCCCATCAGGCAGGTGGTGATGTTCTCTGCCACATATAGGCCATTCGGCCACCTCATCATGGTGGCTGCTGTCTTTGCTGTGTGCATCTCTTTCTCCTTCCTTTCCACCTATGCAAGCCCTACCCTTTCTTTTTACCTGAGTTTAAGCCCATCTGCTCCCAAAGCCTTCTGTAAGGGCCCAGCTCACACTGCTGCTCCCTATGGTTGCTGCCTGAAACGTTTGTCTGCCCTGCAGGTTCCAGAACTTCATAATGTCTTGGCATCTTTCTCCTTAGCAAGGCCGTAAAAAGATCCTTCCTCATCCCCTAAGTCTCACTTAGCTCCCCATCTCCATGAGCCTCTGCTCTTGCATGTGAGTTTCTTTCTGCAGTGAAGTTGCCTAGTTGCCATCCCCTAAGTCCCTGTGCTTGAGCTTCTGGGCCTTAAAACAAACATCCCTGGTATTAAAGGTCCTTGGCCCCTCCTGCCAGACCTGTCATTGACTCAGATTCTTAGGGTGCAAACTGCCCTGGTGTCTTTGTGCTCCCAGTCCACTGACCCCATCCACAAACCTTTCTCTCATCGCTTTCCTTCTCTTCCATCTCTCATTCCTTCCCTTCCCCTACTTTCAGGTCCCCAGGCTCCATTTCTAAGATTGCTAGGAGAAAAAAAACCCCAAACTCATGTTACTTTTTTTGCACTGAGCAATTTAGCATTTCTGGTCAGCAATTTCTCCTTCCTGGCCTGGCCTTGAACCTTTTTTCCCTTCATGACAGAAGCACATTTGTTAAGTGTGGTTGGTAAGCACTTTAACAGTCTGCACCTGAGACACATTCTCAGCCACGATTTTTCCTGCCTGCTCCGTACAGGATGGGATCCCAGAGGGCAGGGATGGTGTTCTCTAGTCCCTCACCTTCCCTGAGTACCTAGTCCAGTGCTGGACATGCCGGGGAAGTAGTTACTGAATTGAATTTGTTTGAATTGGAGAGAGGAATCGAAGGCAACCCCCCTGGCTGTGAGGCTGCGGCAAACATCGAGAAGACGAAAAGGAACATTGGTTTGGGGAAGGGGGAGCGGAAACAAAGGATGAAGTTGGCAAAAATAATGAAATCTTTCTTTAACTTCATAAAGGTCCTTATGTAAGTTACCTATAAATTTTTTAACTGTAAAATTAATACATTGTATGGAAGGCAAGCCTGTGGTACTTTTAAAAATACATGGCAGCCTCAAAGGAGTTTTATTCAAAAGAATGACACACCATGAATGCGGTAGTTAAAACATGTGGGCAGCTGGGAAAGAATTAGAATGTGGAGAAAAATCACAAGGGAGGCATATGTTGGTTATTCTGGGACTACCTCCTAATGTAGAAGGAGCAAAATTATTAAAAATGCTCATCTGTTGGGATGAGCTATGCATTTTAGCACCTAGGAGGGATCTGGTTAAAGGATTTGGGACGACATTGTTGCAACTCATTATTGTGAATTGAAGTTACCAACTGAAAAATTGGTTCTTCCCAAGGGATTTTCCTCATTGAGTTCTTCAAGATTTCCAAAGTGTGTTTTTCCCCCCATTTTATTTCATTTCAGGTACACATTTTTCTACAGCGGCATCACAAGCGATGTTCAGGTGACTGAGCGGCCGGCCAGAGTGGGCATTCTGCTGGACTACAACCACCAGAGGCTGCTGTTCATAAATGCCGAGAGTGGACAGTTGCTCTTCATCATTAGGCACAGGTTTAATGAGGGTGTTCACCCTGCCTTTGCCCTGGAGAAACCTGGGAAATGTACTCTGCACCTGGGCATAGAGCCCCCAGATTCTGCAAGGCACAAGTGATCCTTGGCTTTCAGAGTTTGCAAGAGCAATAATTTAAATTTTGGGGAGGGGGGGGTCTGTTGTTCTTTCCCCCAGGTGCTATACATTATTCAAAAAGTCTCCCACACATTTGCACTAATGATGGCTGTGTGCACAGCAGTCAGCACCTGAGCACAGCCCAGAAGAAAACTTTCACTTTCGGAGCAGTGTGTGAGTAAAGAGGATGAAAACAACCACAGCTCTTTGGTTTATATGCATTTGAGTTCTTTCCTAAACTAAGAGGTCTTACACTTGACTTGGGAATCAAAATAGAGCAATAGACTTCCACCTGTTTTGTTGGTCGAAGAGCCCCTCTGATGGACAGGTTGGAGCGAAGGGTAGGTCGTGCTGGTCTGGCATCTCCTCTGACAAAGAGAGATGGACATTTTCCACAAGAAAAATGTCCCCTTACTTTGCTAAAGGATGATGAATCCCAATCATTAGAGAAAGTGTTTTACCTGAGCTAAATTTATACTGAACTCTTTTGTAATAATGTATACTGTAGAACATGAGCTTCTTTTCCCTGAAATTTTAAATGTAGAAAACCGTTAGATATTAGAACTTTCCATTTTGTTAAATAAATGGTTAGAGTCTATAAAACCAAACATGTTATGCGAACTTATTGCATGTAATTTACTAGTCTGGCGTCTTGGGAGCAGGACAAACTGCAGAGTAAATACCCATCATACTTCAGTGAGTTGTGTTGCTATTGGTTTTCATGCAAGAATTTTACACACACGTGCATATATACATATATTTATATCTATATATTTTAAAATCGAAACACTCTCAGCCATAGTTACAGTCAACTCTCAGAAGCTGAGAATCTCTTTTTACTAAAATAAAATGGTTGGTCATTTTTAGATATTATATTGATGCCTGTAATCCCAGCTACTCAGGAGGCTGAGGTGGGAGGATCACTTGAGCCCCAGGGTTTAGGACCAGCCAGGACAACATAGCAAGGTCTTGTTTCTACAAAATAAGTTTTTAAAATGTTAAAAAAAAATTTAAAAATTAGCTGGATATGGTGGTGTGCTTGAGCCCAAGAGTTTGAGGCTGCAGCAAGTTAGGATCACATCATTGCGTTTAGCTTGGATGACAAAGTGAGATGCTGTCTTAATTTAAAAAAATAGATTGAGATCTTTCAAAATCTTCCTAAAATGTGTACAAAGTTGATAAATGTATGTTGAGATGATTGCTCATTTCCTATAAGGTAAACGCTTTGATCATATTCAGTTTGTTTTAAAACTTTCTTTAAAACATGCATTTAGTTATTTTTTGAATTGAGAAATAATATCCTACTTTTATTGTTTAGCAGCTAGAAAGTCCAAACTGGATCTGTAATGGCTTTTAATAGAGCCCTTGAAGGCTGTCACCCTGCTTTGCAATTAGAGCAGTTGCTGGCAAGGTGGAGTCTTCGTGAGGTTGGAGAAGTAACTTGTGGCTTTGTGGAGGATGTTATCTTCACTTTTTCAAGCCTTGAACATGTGTCATCAGGTTCTGACTGATCGCCACCATTGGTTATATTACTTTTTTTACTTGGTCGCAATGTATAACTGCATGAATATTTCGAATTCCGTTCAGTTTGGGTTCCTCCAGAGAGGACCAACTTAAAGATGTAGTGCTGTTGTGTCCACAGGAACTGACTCCAGGAAGAATACTGCAGGAAGCCAGGAAGGTGAAACAGGAAGGGGAAGCCAATAAAGGACGTGTTTATGAGTGAGGTATTAGCGCCATGGGCACCTGGGGCTTACTCATTCTGGGCCCGTCTGGAAACCACATGGAACATGCAGGGACTGGCGCTGACCCACTCCTCCCAAGCCCGATTGGTTGAGGGTTGCCTGGGAGACGTTCTCTACAAGCTCCCCTGGTCCTAGAAAGCTCTTAGAGAGAGTTATTGGGAAACACAGATACCTGTCACAGGACTTGTCTGATCAAAACCTCCTAAGGCAGCTGCCGTGTCCCTCTGTCAGTTGGAAGTGGATGGGGCAGGTAGCTGCGTCTGCCATCGTGCTGGAAGAGAAAGCCACCGTAAGAGAAGAATGAGGCTTGAATCCTGACTGAGCCCTTACGAGATGATTGCTTTGGGAAACTCAGATTCTTGGGTTGTAAACATCAGGTTGTGAAGCATGTGAAGTGGCACGGCATTTTGTAGTTTATAAAACAAAAGACAAGGGACCACAGAGATCCTCTAAATCACATACATCCCCAGCGAGTGGCCCTCCTGTCTCTGATTCCGTGGCAAGTGGTTGGTGGAAGGTAGGACTCTGGGGTCAGAAGATCCATGTGTTCACTGCCTCTGTCTGTCAAGTGATAGGAGGTTTCTTACGTGGTCTTACGTGGGGGTTATTATCGTGCAGATAAGTAGAGCGAAATTCTGTTTTCCCACATTATCAAGAGTCATTTACTCTTTGGCCCTTCTTCTCTGATTTCCATTTTCCCTTCACACAACACAGACCCTCAGAAGAAGGGAAGGAAATCAAATTTGGTCAAAATTGCTCCTCTGGATATCTGTCAGTGGTGTTTATTAGATTTTTTCTTTCTTTCTTTTTTTAAAAAATTGAGACAGGGTCTCATTCTATCACCAGGCTGGAGCACAGTGGTACAATATAGCTCACTGCAGCCTTGAACTCTGGGCTCAAGCATCCTCCTGCCTCAGCCTCCCCAAGTTCCAGGAATACAGTGTGAATACACTGTACCCAGCCTACATTTAATAAAATGCACAGCCCATGCATTCTCTCTTTAAGTCCTCATTACAACCTTGCACAGTAAATTGTTGCCATTTTATAGATGAGGAAACCAATCTCAGAGCAGTTAAAAAAACTTGTTCACCGTCACAGCCAGCAGTGGAAGAGTATGGATTTAGGTACAGCTCAAATCCAGAGTTAAGAATAAAATGGGCCGGCCGCTGTGGCTCACGCCTGTAATCCTAGCTCTTGGAGGCCGAGGCGGGCGGATTGCTCAAGGTCAGAGTTCAAAACCAGCCTGAGCAAGAGCGAGACCGTCTCTACTATAAAATAGAAAGAAATTAATTGGCCAACTAATATTATATAAAAAATTAGCCGGGCATCGGTGGCGCATGCCTGTAGTCCCAGCTACTCGGGGCTGAGGCAGAAGGATCACTCCGAGCCCAGGAGTTTGAGGTTGCTGTGAGCTAGGCTGATGCCACGGCACTCACTCTAGCCTGGGCAACAAAGTGAGACTCTGTCTCAAAAAAAAAAAAAAAAAAAAAAGAAAAAATGATTATATTTTTTCATTCTTTATTGTAGATCATGTTTCCTCATATTACATAGTGTGGTAAGAATTACATGTGTGGTGCATACATGTTATGTATATGTGTGCACATACGTATACATTCTCTTCTCCCTTCTCTTTTGTTGTTGGTGCTGCCATAACTCAGGGAAAGACATGGGGTTACCTTTGATTTATTCTTCAATACTAGTGACCTTCATCATTTATGCCCAGCATTATTTGCAACATGGCTCTTTGAGAGTTCAAAAGAGTCTATAACATTCTATTTGTGGAGAAAAAACTTTATATATATGAAACCAAAAATGCCTGCTTCTAAGAGATATGGGTCAAAATAAAGATTAGTGGGAAAAAGAAAAGGAACTGAAGTATTAACACTGCAGTCCTTCTGTTTTGCATACGTTACTGGCAAACTTTGTCAAAGTTAGAATATTTTTCTATTGCAGCAAACCAGAACATGTTCCTGTTTTTTTTGAGGTGCTTCCTTAAAGTCCAAGAGAACTGAAGTATTGTACTTCCTCACACCCACTCACAAAGACATTTGCTCTAAGGACCAAACACTAACCTTTCCATTGGAGCTCCTTCACATCTCACAGGGACATCTATCTGAAGTCCCCTTCTCATCTTCCACTACATTTAATGTACCATAATAATCCCAAGTGTTCCAGTTTTGAGAACCAAGGAACTCAAATAGTTTATATTCATGAACAGCTTTATTACTGGCAGCGAAACAGTACAGCCATACAGGAGAGGCATTGGAAGGGATTCTTGATGTCTGCAGTGCAGGCTTCTTGGTCCTCCCACCATTGGCTTGCACCATACACGTGACTCCAGGCCTCAAACACCGCTGGTGCACATGTGGAAGCACTTTGATACCAGGAGCTCAAATTTTGTTTAGGGTGGTGGTGGTGGTGGTGGTGGTGAGTCTCTCATAGTGAGCTGGTCACCTGGATATGTTGTAGTGCTGGCACTAACCCTTACTGTCAAAACTCACCTCTCTGGCCCCACAGGCCCCCACAGGCCTCCAATGAGTATGCTAAAACAAATGCAAGGTATAAATCTAATGATTACTACTAAACAATACTGATGGGCTGATGCATCCTGTTCTGAAACAATTGTTGAATCCGTGGTTACAGAATGCCACTTTCAGTTAATAGATTCCGTGGCATTGTCCAAGGGTCAGTAACTCTATAGATATGCGTGTGGTCAATTAAGATCAGCTGAAATTAACTCATGCTAGGCACTTACTATTGTGCATTCCTGAGGCCAGCTGCAAAGGGGTTTTTAAGAATACTATCAGAATCAAAACATCACATGCACCCCATAAACATATACAACCATTATTTTTAATTGCTATGTAGACATAATTAAAAATAAAAAATTCAAGAAAAAAGATTAAAGGCAAAAAAAAAAAAGAATACTATTAGTAAGAGCTGAGTGCCTGTGCTGCCATTAGCCATCCCCTTTGGTCCCGTGATTTGGTGGCTGTTAGAGCTGAGGGGTGATCCCAGGCACCTCCCTGAGCTGAATGAAGTTCCATTTGATTTCTGGCCCCTTCATAGTACTCTAGAGGGAGCATACATTCTGGGCTGTTGTTGGAGTAGGAGATCAACACTTCTCATTTTCTTTTACTACCTTCAAAGTGTATGTGGCTGTGCCTCTCTTTTCTATGCCTCTGTTTTGGTCTTAAGTGATCTGCGCCTCTATGCTGTTTGTTTTTCCAGTTGATACCAGTAATTTCAGATCCCCAAGTAATACATGAACTTAAGAATAGTTTGAGAGTCGGAGAATGAAGAATGTTTAACTTAGAATAAAAACAACTTAGGGAAGGATATAGGAGGCCTTCAAAGATTTGAAGAGCTGTTACATGTTTACATGGAAGGAATCAGGGCTTTTTTCTTTTTTTTTGAAACAGGTTCTCATTCTGTTGCCCAGGCTAGAGTACAGTGGCATCATCATAGCTCACTGGAACTTCAAACTTCTGGGCTCAAGGGATCCTCCTGCCTCAGCCTCCTGGGTAGCTGGGTCTACAGGCACATGCCACCACATCTGGCTAATTTTTATTTATTTATTATAGAGACAGGGGCCTCACTGTGTTGCTCAGGCTGGTCTTGAACTCCTGGCCTCAAGTGATCCTTCTGCCTCAGCCTCCCAAATTGCTGGGATTACAGATGCAAGCCACTGTGCCCAGCCAGGAAATCAGGCTTATTTTGATTTTTCTATGAGGACCAGTGGGCAGAAGTCCCATCAGTGGGTAGAAGTTGGTTCAAGAGAAGGAAAAACACCATCAGTGACAGCTGGCTCAGGAGCAGGCTGCTTAGCAGGTCATGAGCACTCAGAGGCAGACAGAATGATC